CTACACTCACCACCCAGCTAGGAAATTGTCCTGTGCTCTCTTCTTCCTCTAAACAATTAGGAGACTGAATGTGATTAATTACAAAACCTCCAACAGTCTTGTTTCAAAGAAAGTCTTATGATTTTCCTGGAAGGTATCTTTAACTCCTTCTTGTCCTTCAAAAATATTTATATATCACCCCTTATCTTGTGTGCACTGGTTCAGTATGGAGAGGGTAAGCATGTGTGATGGTTTGAGAGAATATGGCCCCCAAAGAGAGTAGCACTATTTGGAGGTATGGCCTTGTTGAAAGAAGTGTGTCATTGTGGGAGTGGGCTACACCCACTGACATGGTTCACTTCCTGTTGTCTGCTGATCCAGATGTAGAACTCTCAGATCCTCTCCAGCACCATGTCTGCCTGCATGCCACCATGTCCTGCCATGATGATAATACACTGACCACTGGAACCATAAGCCAGCCCCAATGAAATGGCTTCCTTTATAAGAGTTGCGGTAGTCAAGGTGTCTCTTCACAGCAGTGAAAACCCTAACTAAGACAGCCTGGAAAGAAGAGGGCATTAGGCTTATAGTGCACATTGGGGACCCATTAGTACAAGGTGGCATGAGATTGGTTTCAAATAAGGGAAAGAGCCAGTGTGGTACAGGAACTTAGAGGTTCATAGTCCCTAAAAGCCTTTGGAAGCTACCCAGGGGCTTAGCTGGGCAGAATGTGAAACAGAACAAATCAGTTTTGATGAGCTTTGTATGATGGACTCAGTAGGAAACAAACTCAACTTCTTTTCTAGATCTCTTAGTCTGTTGTTTCTAGGAGTTCATCTATCTTCCAGTCATTTGACCCCTCTCATAATCCCTGTGTTAGGATCCTAAGATTTATAGAGAAGCAACGTGGCCTAGTGTATGGCTTTTAAAACTTTACCCACTTGAAACTCCCTTTCATCCAAGAAATTTTTATCCAACCCACATTTATAGGTATATCAGATAGAGATACATATATTAAACATTTGCTGATACTAAATCATGAATAAATTTAGTCTGAAACAATTATTAGATCTACTTTATTAAAGATGAGACAAAATTTGCATAGTAATGAGATGAATATACTTGTTTATATTTATATAAAGAATTAAATCTTGACTGAATATTTGATACCTCAGGGTGTAGAACATTTTCAGAGTTGAACAACATTTTAATTTCATAATCATCAGTGCTGAGAATGCTGCTATATATAACCAGATAGCATGAAATTGTAGAATTATGTTTCTATCTAAGAAATTGTTGGACATTCTGAGCTAATCCTAAGCTAAAGTTCACCAACTGACTTTTTTATGAAATAACTCAGTGAACAGCTTTAATATCAAACATTCTAGCAATCTAATCCCAAGATATACTAATTTAATACTTAACATGCTGAGGGATTATAAGAAAAATACTATTAAGAGTCTTTGTTTTCCATAACTATATCATCATGTTTCTACAATAACATAACTCTTGGTATGTAAAATAAAATCACTGCAGTTCATATCAGTCAATCTTCTCAAATCCAAGCTGAGACGTGTCATTGACATTGTGTACAGTGCTAGTGTGTGCAATGTAAATGGTGCGTATTGAGTGTTCAGAACCAAGGCTGCAATGAGGCTGTGTGATAGAGACATCAAGAATTATCGTTGCCAGAAACAACTGAGATTCACTGCATGTGGCGAGTCTGAATGAAGTTTTGATTGTTGTGCATTCAGATGCCTTTTAATGTTGCTGACATTTAAAAGACCAATGTTATTATTTCTAATTTTGTGTGTTTGTGTGTCTCTGTGTCTGTGTATGTGAGCGAAGGTACTTGTGGAGACCAAAAAAAAAAAAAAAAAAAGGCATAGACTATCCTGGAACTGAGTAATAGGTGGTTACAAAACACCCAGCTTAGGTGCTGGGTATTGAACTCAGGTCCTCTGCTAGAGCAATACCTCTTTCTAATGATCCAGCTCTCCAGCCTTTGGTGCCAAACTTTTTGCAACAGCCTGATTCAGTTGTGTGATCAGATCCTAGTGATTAAAAAGGATTAGGAGCTTGAACTCCAGCTCTAATATGATCTTAAAAGAGCAATTTAACAATCCCATTTCTCAACGGCAAACAGGGATGATGATGATGACAACAATAATACTAACAATAGCAATAAAGAATAATAATATCTAGCTTATAGAGTTCCCTGGAGGTTTAAATGGAGTAAGTCATGTTAAGATGCAAAGCCAGTGATGGTGGCATATTACTTATTCATGAAATAAAAAATTATCAGGTACTTTGTGCTGGTAGTGTGAGATAGCAAGGAGCAAGAGAGATGGGATCTTTACTTTCTTGGGTACTGTACAAGCTGATGGGGAAGGGGATTTAGGCGTTTTCCTCAAGGAACTGCTAATCTGCCAGTTTCTGATTTTTACTCCATTTTCCAGTCTGTCAATTCCAGTACTTTGTGAGTTGCCATTTAGTTTATTTTCATTGCTCATTTCCTAAATGAGTCAGTATTGAAAGCTAAAGATTTCCTTCAAACCCAGCTTTGGCCATATCTCATAATACTTGAGGATGACTGTTTTCACTCTCCATGTTCCTCAAGATGCTGATTTGTCTCCTATATTTGACCAGCTCCATTTCCATTTCTTCACCGTGTTGCTAATATAAGCAAGAAGGCCCTCATCAAAGGTTTATTAGATAAGCCACTTTATCTTGAGTATCTGGCCTCTAAAACACAGTGAGCAAAACAAGTCTCTGCTTTATAAAGTCCATCACCTCAAACATTTTCTCCTAACAATGGGAGACAAACTAATAGAGGACATGGTAGTACTAAAGGATAAGCCAGCCAGACTCTTCAGAATGGCTTCAGAGCTGCAAAAAGAATTGATGCAGGGAGACTAATGAGAAAAAAAAATTCATGACAGTGTAGGACAGTGATTCTCAAACCTGAGTGTGAATCAGAATCCCCTTGAAGGCCTGTTAAGGCACAGCTTGTTGGGCAGCGTCCCAGAGCTTATGATTGAGTACCATTGTAGTGGAGAACTAAGACTTTGCGTCCTTCATAAGTTCTCAGGAAACGCTGCTGCTGCCAGTCTAGAGGCCACACTTTGAGAAACTCTTATTTAGGAGAGTGATGACAGAACAGGCCATACTAATGCTAACGGGCTTAGAGAGGAAACAGAGAGCGATGGAGAAACCATAGGGGTTGAACATGGGCACCAGATTTGACTGAGAAATCAAACATACCAAGTTTCTGTGACTTAGAGACTAAGAGACTCATAGAAGCAAACCCACAAACACCTATGAGGAAAATTCAGTCACATAGCGTGTACTAAGAAAAATAAAGGAGGTTTCTAGTTTTGTTTGCACTATGGCACTCGGGGCTAAAGTCTTCTTGTCTTTTCTGTGGAAGAAAAGCCTCCCAGGAGAAAGTGCAGGTCTGGGTTTGGTCTCTTTTGTATCGTGTAACATTTGAGTAAAGGAAGGAAACGAAGATATAATGGGAGGTGGTAAAGAAAGTGGCAAGATTTTGCATAGTCTAAACATGACAAACATGCCTTTGCACTGTTAAGTATTGAATGTATTTGAGTAACTAAGAACAAAAGACAAAGCAAAAGAGTAACCTGGCGGGGACCATCCAGGGCAGCTCTGGTGGAAGCTCCTGAGACAACTGATCACAGTTTCTAAGTCAGGGCTTCTCGATTCCAGACTGCTGAATCTTGCCTTGGAACTCTGGTGCCCTGACATTGTGGCTGCTTCCAGCCTATTGCGAATTCTCTTACCTGCTTCTCTCCACTGGGCTTTCTGTAGCTAAGAAGAAGCTCCACAGCGCCCACCACTTCCTTGCGGATGGCATAGAGTAATGCATCGCCGACATACACACTGTGGTTCAGCAGTAGCTCCATGATCTCTAGGTTCTCGTTCTCAATGGCAATGAGCAGGGCGCTCCTGCCCAAAGGATCCATGCAGTTGATGTTGACATTGTAGTAGATCTCGGCCTCCTGCAGTGCCTGTATTAAGGAAGGCCTTCTCTTCAGCAGAGAGCTCAGTCTCAGCCCTCACGATTTGGAGGGGGATGCGGTCTCTGTATGGTGAGTAATTGACCTTTTTGTAGTAAAGCTGGGCCATGGTTCATAGCAATTTAGAAAGCTAAGTGTGGAGAGAGAGAGAGAGAGAGACAGAGGAAGACGAAAGAAAATTTTAGTTACCTGAAGGTTTCAAATGGCCATTTACTAATCCCTTTCTAATGGGATTTCAAAACCCCAAAGCATCTGAATGACAACGTTGTTTCCCTGTTGCTGAGGAGCAGAGCAGCAAAAGCCCAAGCTTTAGTCACAATGACTTGGGCTAGAACACTAATTTAACACTTAGTGGCTCTGGGATCTTGCACAAGTTAATCAAACCCTTTACCACATTTGTTGCTAAGGTTATTCATATTAATATCATTAGCAAGTTGTCATCTAGTGTTTACCAAGTCTCATGCTAGAGAATAACTCCTACTTTGAAAAGCTACTTATATAGTTAAAGGAGTTATATATTACCAAATCTCCTAAGACACAGCACAGCTTACACTGAAATTTTCCTCCCCTTCCATTGCTGAAAGTACCCATGGTAATACTTCTGATTAGTGGTGTTAAGTTGCTCCTTGCTTAGGGCCAGATTCATTTGGGCTCTGGGGTCTGTGGGTCT